CTCTCCATCCCCCTCTCCCCCCACCCCCCTCTCCCCCCTCTCCCCTCACCCCGTCTCCCCCCACCCCCCCTCTCCCCCCACCCCCCTCTCTCCCCCCCCCACCCCCAGCGTTGCCTTGGGGAGCGCGATATTTAAGCACATGTCGACAGCGTCATGGAATTGGCCTATAAATGTCGTGCGGAGTTAAGTCGGTGGGGGGGGGGTGGTGGTGGTGGTGTTTGCCTCGGTGCGATGGTTATGTAAGGGGAAACACGGCGACGCCGCTATGAATGCGGGCGGCGGGCACGAGCACGAACACACACACAACAAAAAAGTGATTACAAACAAAATCGAGCTCGCTATTTTTGGGAGGTGACCCTGGTGGCTTAAGGAGGTCGGAGCGCTGAGCCGGCACCGCCGAGAGGCCGGGTTCGAGTCCAGGATTCAGCCGACCGTGAGTAATAGCGGCTTGCCAAAGCGCAGCGAGTTGATGGATGTCAGCCCCGGTCACCACTGAGTGCACCGAAACATAATTCAAAGTCGGCTCGGCAACTTTACTTGGCTAAATTAAGAATTCTCGGTTTTTGAGGCCAGGATTCAGCCGCCCGTCAGTAAAGCGGGTTGCCATGCGTGGCGAGTTGATGGTGTCAGCCCGGTCACTTAAAGCACGTTACAACGACAAAAATGAAGCCCGTCACATGGAATGTGTTTCCGTCCACTTAGATTTGGCAACATTTCAGCACTGAGAGTTCAATATATCGGTTTGACTGCCACGTGATGAACATTTCTCTATACCAGGACATGTAAGGAAAGTACAGTCTACGTAGTGCCGATACAAACTTTCAGTTGAAGGGATCTCAGAAATAGTTCTGTGATGTCACCTTCTACATGCCCTCCTCTGTCACGGGGTGATGTATTGGTCCGCGAGAGTCCCGAATGGGCACTGCATCAGTTGTGCCGATGGCACAACTGATGCAGTGCCGATGGCACAACTGATTGTGCCGATGGCACAACTGTAATAATAAGCTTGGGAAAACAGATTTGTATTAATGTTTTTTTTGTCTAGCCACAACGCTCCGTTCTGTTTTTAGGCCCACACCCGAGACGTTTGGCTGGGCTCTAGCTTCTGCGTAACTGCACCGATGATCCGGAACTCTCCCCCATTGCACACAAGCAACAGCAGCAGCAGCCAATTACCCTGCACCTTAAAGTAAGAAGGTCAAGGCTCTCACCTGTCCAGGTGTTCTCCTGTTCAAGCTCTTACCCGTTCGGGCGTTTATCTGTCCAGGCTTTCTCTGTCACTTGTGTTCAGGCTCACTAATCGCACTTTCCCCAGTCGGCACAGGCGGGCTGGGCATTTAAGTGACTGTAGCCACATTTGTTGAATTGTTGTTGACTGATTAAAAACGCATGAATACTTTTGAGTGAATAAACATCTATTAGCACTCGCGGGCAATTTAATTCACAATTTTCAAACGCTCCGTCGCACGCGAATGTATGTGCTTCTGTTTTTAAACGGCACTTTGGACGGTTAATTCGGAATTAACACCGAGCACGAATGCCCGTCAAGGGGAGGCCACGCGAACTGCTTGGCTGCCCTATTCCATAGTGAAAATTATATTAATCTCTTCCCTGCTGTGACACGGAACGGAAATTTTACCCAAAATAAAAAAAAATGTTAATCCACGTTGAATGAAAATTAGTGGCGTTTTACAAATTTTCCACCTCTTCTTTGACGCGTGTGTTGGTGATTTTGAACATTTAGAGCAGCGACGCAGTGACTCGAGTCCGCTTTCTATGCACGGCTAACATCAGCTGCAAGTAAAACGGTGGATCGGTCATGAACCCACGTACGCTCTCTTATCCGCGCGTTCCTCGTTCTTTCTCACAACGCGATTCCATGCTTGACATCTCTCCATGCTGCCATGCTTCATGGAGAGATGCAATGCTTGGAATTACACAGAGACACGGAAAGAGGAACACATGCTTTCGTTCCATTTGCATATACTTTGCATACATTCAACAATAATTATTCTCACGCATTCAATTCCACGCGCGCATTGTGAACATACAACGCTTAGTAATGCGCTTCCAGATGTGCCCAACACTCTTACGCCTTGGCGTCACTTTTTGATCACTCGGGAGTTGAGCGGTGGGATACAGGGGAGGTGGAGGGGTTTCCTCAGAGGCTGCTCCGAGGCCCCAAAATGAAATCCAGGCAGCCGCCTTTTACTGAATGCGGCATCTCAGACGCAGTGAGATTTCTCGTCTCAGCCCAGACACCACCAACACAACAACAAAAAACCCCCCAACACCTTAAGTTCGGTTCTGCACTGAATGTTTTCCCCGTGGTCGTGACGATTTCATTCCGGGTCCTCCCGGTTATCCCCTCCACATTGAGAATCAACGGGCGTCTTAGAGCTATTTGACTGCTGTGCATTTCCACGTGATGATAATAAACCATACTCTTTGGTTCTATTCGGTAAAGTCACGTAGGGAAAAAAATAAATAAATAAAAATCACGACTTTTCGGCCACAACACAAGTGGCCTTCATCGGGTGAAGGGACTGGACTGTCCAGAGGACAGCGTTGGAATGGACAGTTCAGTCACCTTCACCTGAAGAAGGCCGCTTGTGTTGTGGCCGAAACGTCGTGATTTTCTGTTATTTTATTTTTACCTACGTGACTTTACCGAATAGAACCAAAGAGTATGGATCCTTGCAGTCACGAAAGCTTCAAATCTGGATAATAAACCACCTCGTCCGGCGATGATTTGTGGCCAGGTCGCTTTCTGAAAAAGAGCTCTATAGCTGAGTGAGTCTTGCCTGGTAAAAATACAAAGTTAGTTAGTTAATAGACTGGAGGAACTTGAAGGGCCACTCAGAGTCGCTTTCTGTAGCCCACCCCCCTCTTTCCTTCACCCCCTCCCCCCATGCCACCATGGACTAGGCCTCCCCCCCCGTCACAATGTGTCCTCTACTTGCTACGAGCTCTCAGGTGTGCCCGGATTGTTCACAAAGCGTGGACACGTTGCGACAGCTCCTGTGCAAGTCCTCCCCTGTCTATGTTGTCTCTCCGCGCTCCCATCATCTCTCGCCGCCTGGCGTTGCGACGAGCCAATCGTCTGCGATCTGCGTCTCGTGTAAACAAAATAATACTAATCTTCTTCTTCTTCATTGTGCGGCTGATGCTGATGTACGAAATTTGGACGAACGTCGCTCTCAACGAAAACAGCGATGCTTGGACTCTGCGAATAAGCTCACCCCACACACCCACCCACCATCACTGTCACCCCTCCCCCAACCACCCACCCACCACCATCCCGCTGCCGTTTCTCCGCTGCGCCCTTCATGCAGATGCGGCGACGACGCCGGCGGTGGCGAGGGTCACGGCAACGTGGCTCGTGAGCGGTGGGAGGCGTGCGAGCCGCATTAGCATGCAGCTCGCACGCCGCCAGAGAGCCACAGCGAGAGAGCGCCGCAGACGAACGATGTCGGATTGGTGACCTCCTCCTCCACCTCCTCTCTCTGCCTCGTTGTCACGTCAGGCCCCTCCCCGACCTCCACCCACCTCTCACCCATCTCCCACCCACCTCTCATCCCACCTCTCACCCATCTCCCACCCACCTCCCACCCACCTCTCACCCACCTCCCACCCACCTCCCACCCACCTCTCACCCATCTCCCACCCACCTCTCACCCACCTCTCACCCATCTCCCACCCACCTCTCACCCATCTCCCACCCACCTCTCACCCATCTCCCACCCAAATCTGGGAGTTTTTTTCTTGTTTCGCGCGTCGACTGCGCTCGCTGTGACCGTCACGCCCCATAGAATCAGCGGCGTCTTAGAGCGTGGGCGGGAGGGAGGGAGTGGGGGGATGGAGTGGGGGGAGGGAGTGGGGGGAGGGAGTGGGGGGACAGAGTGGGGGGAGGGAGTGGGGGGAGAGAGTGGGGGGAGGGAGGGATGAAGGGAGTGGGGGGAGGGAGTGGGGGGAGAGAGTAGGGGGAGAGAGGCAGGGATGGAGGGAGGGAGTGGTGGGAGATAGGGAGGGAATGGGGGGAGGGAAGGAGGGGGGGGAGTGGGGGGAGGGAGTGGGGGGAGGAAGTGTGGGGATAGAGTGGGAGGAGGGAGGGAGTGGTGGGAGATAGGGAGTGGGGGGGGAGTGGGGGGAGGGAGTGAGTGGGGGGAGGGAGGGAGTGGGGGGAGGGAGTGGGAGGAGGGAGGGAGTGGTGGGAGATAGGGAGAGAGTGGGGGGAGTGGGGGGAGGGAGTGAGTGGGGGGAGGGAGGGAGTGGGGGGAGGGAGTGGGAGGAGGGAGGGAGTGGTGGGAGATAGAGAGAGAGTGGGGGGAGGGAGTGGGGGGAGGGGGGCTGAGTCCCCCCCCCGCCTGCTCCAGGCTCATCCCCCCCTCCCCTCCGCCACCTTCATCAAGGATGGAGTGAGCGAAGCATTGACTGTCCCGTGCCCCCCTCCCCCCCTCCCCCCTGCATGTTAGCAATGTGACGCTAGCCAGGTGTTTCACCTTGACCAGCGTGCCTTGACCAACACGGTTAAGTATGGTCACAACAACAACAACAACACAAAAACAACAACACAAAAACAACAACAACAAAAACAACAACAACAACGCTCGGTCGTGACAGACAACACAGGGTGCAGAGGCGACCTTCATCCAGCAGCTCATTGAAATCTACCCGCAAATAATCCCCCAGATTTTCCGCCGCTCTACATTATCGCTCCGTTTAGCGGTGCGTGGTGTTTTCCTTCACACTCCCGTCGTCGTCGCCGTGCGGACGCTCTTCTCTCCGGCCGCGCATGATGCGTGCGGTGGTCACCCTCCCATTTCCAGCTCGCCAAGCCGATGGCTACCCCTCTGACCCGTGCCGCCGTGACCGCCCTTCATAGGTGACTCTCGCCACGCGGCACTTGCTCCACCAGCTTGTTAAGGCTATCCAGTGGGGTGGCACGTGTTGGGGCGGTGGTGGCGGTGGAACCTTTGCCTTTGCAGCGTTGCGCGTACCGTGGCGGAGCGTCCAGGAAGGTTAGGTTGAGCCGCGACACGGTCTCGTCGCACATCTCGTACGCCATCGCCGTTGAGTACCTCTCCATGCGCGACAGGCTCAGGTCGCCGTGAGAGCCGCTGTACGAGAAGCCGTCCTGCCCTGCTCCGCCAGACACGGCGACAGCGTCCCGTGCGGCGGTCGCGCGGGGTCACGCGAGGTCACTCTCGGTCGCGCGGGGTCACGCGAGGTCACTCTCGGTCGCGCGGGGTCACGCGAGGCCACTCTCGGTCACACACACACATGGTCACTCGGCCACTCGGTCACGCGAGGCCACGCTCACGGTCACTCAGGTACACACGGTCACGCAGGGTCACTCGGCCACGCGAGGTCAATCGGTCACGCGCGGGCGTCCGCTTAATCGCCGGCCGCGGCCACGTTCAATCCGCTGCTGGATGAAGGGTTCGGCAAGCCGATGCCGTCTCTCGGGGTCTTGCGTTGCGATGATCCACGTGGGCAAGCCGGATCGGAGACAGCCGCCCCTGGATTGCAGGTGACGCGCGATGGTGTTGCATTGATAATATTAATTTAGATTTATAAGGGACCCTTAAGGAATGGCTCACAGTAATTGCACGAGACGTATATGTGTAAAGCCCTTGCGTCAGTCGACTCGCTGTTGGACATGGGCTGTCATCTCTCCTGGTGATAAAAAAAATCCACAAAATTCCACGGGAGCAAGAAGATAAAGGGGCCCTACGTAAATAAATATTCATTCATATTAAAACACATTTTTAACTTGCACAATAAAGTAATTGTATTTTTTCAGTTGCTATACAGCCAGATAACCTTAAACACCCAGTCGTTCGTAAAAGTTGAATGCGGTATAGGACTATAGCGATGGAGCAAGTGCAGAATCACTGAACCGGAATTGGTAGCTTGAACGCATTTAGCGTGGGGCCCTTGAAAGTGCGGGGCCCGTAGCTGCTACACATGTAGTAGCTGCTACACACGTAGTATCTGCTACACACGGAGTAGCTGCTACACACATAGTCGCAGCTACACACGTAGTAGCTGCTACACACGTAGTAGCTGCTACACACGGAGTAGCTGCTACACACGTAGTAGCTGCTACACATGTAGTAGCTGCTACACACGGAGTAGCTGCTACACACGTAGTAGCTGCTACACACGTAGTAGCTGCTACACACGTATTAGCTGCTACACACGTAGTAGCTGCTACACACGTATTAGCTGCTACACACGCAGTAGCTGCTACACACGTAGTAGCTGCAATACACACGTAGTCGCTGCTACACATGTAGTAGCTGCTACACATGTAGTAGCTGCTACACATGTAGTAGCTGCTACAGATGTAGTAGCTGCTACACGTGGTAGCTGCTACACATGGAGTAGCTGCTACACATGTAGTAGCTGCTACACATGGAGTAGCTGCTACACACGTAGTAGCTGCTACACACGTAGTAGCTGCTACACACATAGTCGCAGCTACACACGTAGTAGCTGCTACACACGTATTAGCTGCTACACACGCAGTAGCTGCTACACACGCAGTAGCTGCTACACACGTAGTAGCTGTTTCACACGTAGTAGCTGCTACACACGTAGTAGCTGCTACACACGTAGCTACTACATATGTAGCTATTACATATGTAGTTACTTATGCCAGTTGCACAAGTGGCTACATATGTAAGCTACTACACTTAGATTGTAAAGGCCACCGATTGATCGATCGATTGGCCGCGATGACGATTCGTCAGCTTGCCGTGCCGATCCCGGCTCTCTCTGCGTGCGTGTGATCACGTGGTCTTGGCAGGTGGAGAGCAAAGCCACAACATTTACAATGTGATTACGGCGTTTCGCCAGTAATTACAACCAGCTTTATCAGGCGACAGCCAGAATTGGGGAGATTTGTGTGGATCGTAAATGTCGTGGCTTTACGCGATCTAACCCAGAGGAACCTGCATTATGTACCTCGAGCTGTTGACATTCTCCTGAGATCTGAACCACCAACCCTGAGCCAGATCGTGCCCACTCATTGCTTCGAGCGCTGCACGCCGGTCGCATCTGGAACGAGTTGCGTTCCCTCCGCTATAACCGGCAGGACGTGCGGCAGGATCGGGATGAAACTATACGAAACTATGTTTTATTTTATTTTTTTATTTTACCAGGTAAGACCCATTGAGCTATACAGCTGGGGTTTTTATTTTTTCAGAAGCCACCTGGTAACATATGACGGCTTAAGGAACTGGCCTATCACGTGGAAATGTATGGCACCCAAATACTACAAACGCGTGATGTTGATTCTAAATGTGGAGGAAAAACACGGAAGACCTGAAGAAAAATCCACGTGACCATGGAGAGCGGTACATGCACACTCCAAATATACAGCAGGCGTCAGGGTCCGGATCGAACCCACGACCTCCTGTGTGCCAGGCGAGGGAGTTAACATCTCCTAGCCACCGTGGTGATGATGTTCGAACCCACGACCTCCTGTGTACCAGGCGAGGGAGTTACCATTCCTAGTCACCGTGGTGATGATGTTCGAACCCACGACCTCCTGTTTACCAGGCGAGGGAGTTAACATCTCCTAGTCACCGTGGTGATGATGTTCGAACCCACGACCTCCTGTGTACCAGGCGAGGGAGTTAACATCTCCTAGTCACCGTGGTGATGATGTTCGAACCCACGACCTCCTGTGTACCAGGCGAGGGAGTTAACATCTCCTAGCCACCGTGGTGATGATGTTCGAACCCACGACCTCCTGTGTACCAGGCGAGGGAGTTAACATCTCCTAGCCACCGTGGTGATGATGTTCGAACCCACGACCTCCTGTGTACCAGGCGAGGGAGTTAACATCTCCTAGCCACCGTGGTGATGATGTTCGAACCCACGACCTCCTGTGTACCAGGCGAGGGAGTTAACATCTCCTAGTCACCGTGGTGATGATGTTCGAACCCACGACCTCCCGTGTATCAGGCGAGGGAGTTAACATCTCCTAGCCAGGGAGAGTCGAACGCGGTCCGACCTTTCGGCCCAAAGTTAAAATCCTCCGGAGCGCAACGAGGGGACAAAAGCGGCGGGGTAGCGGGGTGGGGGGATGGGGGGGGGGGGATGGGGGGGTGGGGGGATGGGGGGGGAGGGGGTGGGGGGGGTACTGGGATGGGGGGGAGGGGTCACCTGCGGTGGGCAGCGAGCCGAGCTGCGAGCCCCGTGCCGTGGAGCGGCCGTCCTTCTTGAGGCTGCCGGCGACGATGGTGACGCACGACAGTAGCAGCACGAGGCCGATGACCATGCCGGCCACGACGAGGGGCGACACGAGCAGGCTGGCGCCCTCGCCCGCACCGCCCGCACCCCCGACCCCGATGCCGTCCACCGCCACAGCGGCGGCTCCCGCGCTCATCCCCCCGGCGCCGAACCCCGCGGCACTGAACCCCGGCGCCGCCGACTCGCTGTGGTTGGACGCCGCCGCCACCTCTGGGTGAGCGTCCGACAAGGCGCGGTCATCGGCGTGCTTATACAAGGGGTAGGGGGTGGTGGTGGTGGTGGTGATGGGGGTGGTGGTGGTGGGGGTGGTGGTGGTGGTGGGGGTGGTGATGGTGATGGTGGTGGTGGGGGTGGTGGGGGTGGTGGTGGGGGTGGTGATGGTGGTGATGGTGATGGGGGTGGTGGGGGTGGTGATGGTGGTGATGGTGGTGGTGATGGTGGTGGTGGGGGTGGTGATGGTGGTGGTGGGGGTGGTGGGGGTGGTGGTGGTGGTGGTGATGGTGGGGGGTGGTGATGGTGATGGTGGTGATGGTGGTGATGGTGGTGGTGATGGTGGTGGTGGTGATGGTGGTGGTGATGGTGGTGGTGGTGGTGATGGTGGTGGTGATGGTGGTGGTGATGGTGGGGGTGGTGATGGTGATGGTGGTGATGGTGGTGATGGTGGTGGTGATGGTGGTGGTGGTGATGGTGGTGGTGATGGTGGTGATGGTGGTGGTGGTGATGGTGGTGGTGGTAGTGATGGTGGTGATGGTGGTGGTGATGGTGGTGATGGTGGTGGTGGTGGTGATGGTGGTGGTAATGGTGGTGGTGGTGATGGTGGTGGTGGTGATGGTGGTGATGGTGGTGGTGGTGGTGATGGTGGTGGTGGTGGTGGTGATGGTGGTGATGGTGATGGTGGTGGTAATGGTGGTGGTGGTGATGGTGGTGGTGGTGATGGTGGTGATGGTGGTGGTGGTGGTGATGGTGGTGGTGGTGGTGGTGATGGTGGTGATGGTGGTGGTGGTGGTAATGGTGGTGGTGATAGTGGTGATGGTGGTGATGGTGGTGGTGGTGATGGTGGTGGTGATGGTGATGATGGTGGTGGTGATGGTGGTGATGGTGATGGTGGTGGTGATGGTTGTGATGGTGATGATGGTGGTGGTGATGGTGGTGGTGGTGGTAATGGTAGTGATGGTGGTGGTGATACCCAAAACATTCCCCATTTTATGTTTTTCCTTGTAAGGGGAACGTCCATAAATGACGTCACGCGATTTTGGACGATTTTGACCCCCCCACCCTCGTCACACGGCGTCACAAAAAGTCAGACCCCCCCTTAAATATGACGTCACAAAGCTCTACCCCCCACCCCCCTCCCCAAAACCATATTTCCATTTTGAAAATAAAACATGCTTCAAATCGCTTTAAACTGTTGTGTCATTGTAATGCGTATTTAATGTGGCGCCGCATTCTGATGTTGTAGGAGAAAACATGAAAAAGTAAATTTAATTAAGTAGAACGTGTTGTCTATATTTATTTAAAGTTGCGCATTTTAATGTGACGTCACATTTCTCAACCGCCCCCCCCTCCCCCCCCTCGTCACACATCGTCACAAATGTCTGACCTCCCCCCCCTCCCCCCCTCCCCCCTAGGTGCGTGACGTCATTTACGAACGGCCCCTAAGGCCACGCGGGGTTCTTATCGACGAACGAGTTGCGTTTGAATTTCGATTTAAAGCTTTCGTGACTGCAATGATTCATCTTCTTTGGTTCTTTCGGTAAAGTAACGTAGAATGAGAATAAAATAATAAATTGATAAAATAAAATAACGCAATAATATTCTCACGACGTTTCGGCCACAACACAAGCGGCCTTCATCAGGTGAAGGGACGAGACTGTCTGGTAGGACACTCCAGCGCTGTCCTACCAGACACTCTCGTCCCTTCACCTTGTGTTGTGGCCGAAACGTCGTGAGAATATTATCGTGTTATTTTATTTTATCAATTTATTATTTTATTCTCATTCTACGTGACTTTACCGAAAGAACCCAAGAAGAGTTGCGTTTGTTTCTGTTGATTGTGCAACATTGCCAACGGGGCAGCGGCAGCATCGCCAAACAATTTCGTTGACCGTACACCGTCATTCACGCAGACGGCGCCTCACAGCGCTTGCACGCGTGCCTTGCACGCGGACGCGCGCGTGTCTAGATCGAGATGCTTTCGGCCAATTCACGGACCTGTTCGCAAGCGCGCCGGAGGAAACCGGTAGCACGCGGGCAAAATACGCACGCGTGCGAGGAAGCAACTCTCTCCCCCCCCCCCCCTCCACCCCATCCCGATGGGACAGATGGAGATTGGTGCTCACTTCGCTGGGTCGCCGTTCTCCTTGTGAGCCACGGGGTGCGGCCATGGAAAGGGAGTTTGACGAAACTAAAACTTTACTTTTTTATTTATGTATTTCTTTTACAAGGTATCGGCTCACTGAGCTCCGTAGCTCTTTTTCGAAAGCGACCTGGCCATCATAAATGATAACCAGGCGAAGCGTGCTTATTGCGTGGAAACGTATGGCAGCCAAACACTAAAAACGCGTGATGTTGATTCTAAATGCGGAGGAACCACGCGACCACGGGGAGAGAGACACCGCAAACTCCAAATATACAGCAGCAGGCGTCAGGGTCGGGATCGAACCCACGACCCTCCTGCATACCAGGCGAGGTAGTTAACATCTCCGAGCCACCGTGGTTATGATGAGAGAGAGAGACACCGCAAACTCCAAATATACAGCAGGCGTCAGGGTCGGGATCGAACCCACGACCTCTTGCATACCAGGCGAGGTAGTTAACATCTCCGAGCCACCGTGGTTATGATGAGAGAGAGAGACACCGCAAACTCCAAATATACAGCAGGCGTCAGGGTCGGGATCGAACCCACGACCTCCTGCATACCAGGCGAGGTAGTTAACATCTCCTAGCCACCGTGATGTGATCCACACTCACGCGAGCAGACGAGGGGCAGGTCCCAGCCGCACTCGCGCGCGAGCAGACACTGCAGCTCCTCAATGATGCAGTGTCCGTCGCGACAACGCAGCTCATCCTGGCCACACGACGCCTCCTCCTCCTCCTCCTCGTCCCGCGAGTCTGACGTTCACACAGTGGGGAGGGGGGCACGTGGGTTGTGGGGGGGGGTGTGCAGGGAGCGGCGGTGCAGGGAGGGGGGTGGAGATGATAGAAACATGAGTTTGGAGCAGTGTTGTTCACTAAATTTCACAGGGGGAGGGGGGGGGGCGGTGGGCTACTTTCGCCGCAAAGACATCATCGGTGTGAGGGCCTCCACACATTTGAAACCATTGGGGGTTGACAGCAGCACAACGATGGGGTGCGTCTGGGGCCACATAGTGGCCCGCGGGCCTTGCAATGAAGAACGCCGGTTTGGAGTGTTTCGCCGCTCTAAATGTCCACGCGATAAGCCACTTCGTTGAGCTGTCATTTCGTGGCAAGGTCGCTTCTGAAAAGGCGGCCAATAGCTAAGTGGGCCTTACCTGGTAAAAAATAAAATAAAATAAATTGTTTCGTTTTATTTTTTTATCGATTTTTGTTGCTTGACGATGGTCAATGCGGGTTGACGAAGGCCAGCAGGCAAAGTGCGTGTACAACAGAGCACGTTGCTCCAAGGCCCCTCTCTGCCTTATTACAACTTTGCCGAACATTTCGATGGAGTCAAATATGTTTTTTGTTTTTTTAATGTTTGAGTCTTCGTCGCCGGCGTCTTTAGCTTGATCCACATTCCATACGCCTGCCGATTTTCTTTTCTGTTTTTACTTACTTACCAAAGTACAGAACCTCCAATCCCTCCCAGCGTGATGGAGTGTGGCTGGCATGAGCCCAGGCGCAAGAAACTGAATGGTGGGGGGCCTTGTACAATTTAATATTCCGGCGTGTAGGCCCCCCCCGCCACGCCCCGCCCCCCACTTCACCCCCGCCCCCCTCCCCCCTGCTCCCCACCGTGCGCCCCAGTGCAGGTGCACCGCCTGCACCAATCTCTAGAGCCCCCCTGCTCATCCTCGCGGGGGCTTTGGTTTCCCCATGGCCGGACGCTCTGACGTAGTGGTGGTGGTGCCGGCACGCGGGGATCGAGCGAGCGAGCGAGGGGGAGGAGGAGGAGGAGGAGAAACGGCGCTTGAAGGGGCGGCGATGGGAATCCTGAGGTGGATGCTGGAAATATCTCTAAGGGAAAGGAGGCAGAATGAAAGGGAAAACAAAGCTAGAAACTTAACGGGGGGTCACTAATGCACCTAAGTAGCTCAGGAAGGCCAATCGTGCTAATCGGAGGTGCGGGGGGAAGGACAATAACCTAAACACCGAAAATCAGCTCTAAACAAATGAGTTTTCAATTTAGAAATGGGTCTGTGGGGAGAAGAGACACAGAGGAGACCGTGAGGAGGGCTACGGAGATTGGAGACCCGTAGACTCAAAACAAAGATCCGAAGATTGACCCAGAAACCCATCGATTCACACAGAGACTCGTAGACTCACGGAGAGAGAGAGATAGAGAGAGAGGGACCCGGCAATTGACACGCAGACCGATAGCTGAGGCGGGCTTCGGAGATGCCGAAGGAACAGAGGCTGACCGGGGTGGGGGTACGGGAGGGAGCGGTGGTCGAAATGCGATGACTGTGGAAGTGGGGAGATGGGAGAACATTTTAACCGGCGCCCGCATGCAGTAACGAGACGTAATGTGCGCACCGCTGCCGAACACGGTGTCACGCATTACCGTGCAGTAATTAATGAGAGGTTCGGTTTAAAAAAAAAAAAATACCCCCAGGAGGAGAGACTGGACTCACCGATGGTTTGGTTAAGGCCGGACGCCCATCCCACGTAAACCTCTTGGTACAGGAATGTGAGAAAGGCTGCGAGACACACACAGACACACAACAACAACACAACAACAACCGCCATTCGACACTAAGTGGCGGTGACGTCACCACGACGCTTGTGCCATGCTATGTGTTACCTTGAGGTCACGTGAAGTGTCGAAAGCCCGCTGGCAGGAAGTCACGGGGCAGATCCAGATGCCACAAATCGACTGACTGAGACGACTGGCTGATGCACCGCCTGTGCCCCCTACTGTGCCAACTTGCTGTGCTTTAGCCACCCGGCGCTCCGCTCGTTGTTGTGAGCGTCGCTCCTCCGCCCTCCGTTGTTGTTGGAGGGCGACTGCCTCCAACTGCCCAATAGCGTCCTTCACGAGCCTCCTCCAAAGAGGCCGATCTTGACACCGCTGGTACCAGTCACCGGCAAGTCCACTCAGCTCCACATCATCCTGTACCACATCACTCCATCTCTTCTCTAGCCCGTGCCGCGCCTGTTTAGCCCCCTCGATCCGGCCGAACAAATGCTGTTTAGGCATGCGGTGGCTGGGCATGCGGGCGACATGACCCAGCCAACGCAGCCTTGCCTGCCGGAGGAACTCACCGATGGGACTTTGCCCAGATCTTTCTAGGATTTGTGAGCTCCTCACACAATCCAGCCTGGTTAAACCCAGGATGGATCGTAGGCAGGCCAGCCTAAATGTTTCTAACCGGTGAAGATGTTCCATTAGGGGGGTTCACGTTTCGCAAGCGTAAATAAGGGATGGAATGACCGTGGCCGAGAAGACCTGAAGCTTAGTGCGGAGCGACAGACCAGGTAGCTTCCACGCAGCGTTACGCAACTGATGAAAAGATAATGCCGCTCGACTGATTCTGAGTGAGACCTCTGCTATCAAACGGAGCCAGTCATGAGCACACTCTCCACTCTCTCCACAGACATACACAGACATACACAGACATACACAGACATACACAGACATACACAGACATACACAGACACAAAACCTTTTATTATATTTTGGTACTGGCAAAGGAGGTCCCATGATATTCCCATTTCATTTGGCCGGGTAAGGCTCACTGAGCTATATAGCTTCTTGTTGAGAAGCGACCTGGCCACACATTATAGCTCAACGAAGCGGCGTGTCATCTGGTGTGGACATCTTAAGCAGCCAAATACTCTCGACGCGTGATGTTGATTCTAAATGTGGAGGGGAAAACCGGAGGACCCGGAGAAAAATCCGCGCGACCACGTGGAGAGAGAGAGACACCGCAAACTCCAAATATACAGCAGCAGCAGGCGTCGGGGTCGTCATTGAACCCACGTATGCCTGCATACCAGGCGAGGGAGTTCGCATCTCGTCACCGCTGTGCCCTCATCACAAAGGCTGCCAACAAGATTATCCGTGACACCACCCCCCCACCCCCCGCAACAGAAGACGTCCACAATAGGCGACGTTTTGGCCGGTGGCCCATCTCCTCCGCTACGTTTATCGGGGCTTTACCCAAACCTTTGCCCAAAAATGCTATGGCACGTTGCGTTGCTCTTCATGTTACACGCACAGTCCCTTTGTTCAATCCACCGCTGGATGAGGGCCTCCCCACCGCCCCGCAGATCGCCGTGGACGTTCTTTGACCGTACTTCACCTCGCTGGTCGGTTGACGGCAGTAGGGGAGCACACACGAGGGAGCACACGAGTACAGCACAACGATGGATTTGTATGCACTGGCAATGTACCCCCACCCGCAGCAGCCTATAGCAACCGCTTTAAGCCGGGCCGTCGCCCAACAACGTTAACGTCCATGCAGTCCCAAACCTGCTTAGCATCCAAGATCTGATGAGATCGGGGTATTCGGTGGGAGGCTTTAGCTCTGTATCGAATATAAAAATAGATTATATTTATGATTATTATTACTACACAAAAACAGCACAACACTCCCTCGACAGCACACTCGGGGTGAATCGGTACCGGGTCTTGAATCAAATCTGTAAATGGTGAGCAACCTTAACGCAACAGAACGATGATTGCAGGCTGAAGAATGTTACGTCCCTCACCCGGTGCGCAGAAAGTCGTGGTGTTCGATCCCAACCCCCGGTGCCTGTACCGTATATTTGGAGTTTGCACTAACTGCTTTTTTGTGTTCGGAATGTTACGGAGTACGTACGGTGCGAAAGAAGTTCAACATGCATGCACAACATGTAGTCGCCGTGGTCGCGTGGATTTTTTTGTCGGGCCCTTTCGTTTTGTCCTCCACATTAAGAAACGACTTGCGTTACGATTACTCGGCTGCCACTATGAATCCCCACGTGTGATTGCGACGATGATGATGATGATGATATCAGCCGCTTTGATGGGCTATCATGTGTGGCCAGGTTGTCTCTGACAAGAGAGCTAAATAGCTCAGTGGGCCTTTACCTGGCTAAATCAAATATTTGAGCATCGTATAAATATCAACCTGGCCGCTTTAAATTGCCTGATATTGAGTAAAGTTTGGAAGGAGATGCAATTGCTGATTTTATTTCGTACTTATGGACTTCATTTTGTATTGTTTCAGTGACCCCACAGTGCCATAATGTTGTCTTCCTCTCCTGGTGTGCAGGAGGTCGTGGGTTCGATCCCGACCCTGACGCCTGCTGCTGCTGTATATTTGTAGCTTGCGGTGTCTGTCTGTTGTCTGTTTGCATGTTCTCCACCGTGGTTGCGTGGATTTGTCTCCGGGTCGTCCAGATTTTTCCCCACCACACTTAGGATCAACGTGCGTTTGGGCTATTGGGCTGCTATAAATGTCCACGTGATAAGCCACTTCCGTGAGCTATCATTTGTGGCTTCTGAAAAAGAAGCCATATAGCTCAGTGGGCTTTACCTGGTGAAATTAAAATAGTTTTTTATTTGTTAACTTTTCCTAAACTTTGCACTCCTATCGTGTTTTTGTGTTGTTTGTTGTTGTTGTTGTAACGTTCTGACCGGGCCTCTACTGGCGATCTGTGAGACACTTCTTAATAGCTCATTGGATTCCTCCAGTGTAAAATAATGACTCTGATGTAGGCTAACCACCGAAAACCCCGAAACTGTACCGTGTGGATTTGCATTCCGCAAATTATTTGAGTCATCCTGTCCCCCCTCCATTCACGCCGAGCTGGGTCTAAACCCGCCACTTAGTGATTACTCACAGCGGAGATGAGCGGAAATAAACATCGCATTTCCGAGAGTGTCGCCGCATCTTAATGGGAAGATGTTTATTTACCGCAGCGGCCCGACGCCAATTAACAAAATAAAGATTCGCGTGGATTTCGCTGGATGGCAGCCTTGTCTGCGTGTGCTCATTGTCCACAGGCGTTTGACGCTTAACAGAAACACACACATATATATTCTCTAACTTTAAACACGATCCGCAATGCGCACGCATGAAAGCCGTGCTTCCGCTCGACGGCACTTCATTACTGCAACGCTCAATCGTGGGATACCAATTTTTTGGGACGGCTTCGAGTTGATAAATTTCGGGCAATTTTACGACGCTCCACGGTCGCCTATGGCTGCGGGCGGTAGCCTCGCGCGCAACGCGCTTAGCTGATGCGAATATGAAAATCCAAAGTGTCTCCCCCACCGTGTGACACACGTGCGCCTGCATGTGTGAGACACGTGCGCCTGCAATGTGTGAAAAGTAGGGGTCTGCGATAAGCCCCACCCCCCACCCCATCATCCTCCACCCCCCCCCCCCACGTTAAAAAGCAACATCACAGGGTGCAACAGCAGTGAGTTGTTGCAGCTCAAAAAAAACCTCGCCGCAACTCACTGCTCTTTCGAGGCGTCCGGCAAAAACGGATGACCAAGCGGGCAGCGTTGTTCAACATTCCCTGGCACCACGCGTCGCGACGGCTACCGCAAGACGCGACCGCGTGTCCGTCACTAGTGCTCGCCGAGCCGCGCTGTGACGGACGCACTCGTTACGCACACACAAAGTGCTCAGCACAAATGAACCACGATGCCTTGCTGATCTCGTCAAGCAGCATACACCGCCATCTCCACCAACTCCGGTTAACATCGCAGCAGCAGTGACAGCAGCGGCAAGCGGCGGGTTTTGGTTTGCTCGGCCGTCGAACAAAGGCGGCGGTCACCGCATCATCGCGCGGCGCTTTTCAGATGTGCTTTCTGCGGCCGTCTGGAACGCTCTTCCCTTCCGACGTTAGGGAGCCACTGGAGCAACGCACGCCGTTTAAATCGTCTCGGTTGTAAACGAATTTCCTTAGAACCGCTTTTTCTGCTTAGTTTGTTGCCCATCCCAAGCACCTCCGATTAGCACGGTGCGAAAGAAGTTCAACACACATCACATACAATAAATTGCATCCGCAGGTAAGACTCGGAATACAGGGACTCCTCTACATACGAACACTCGACTTACGAACTTTCAGAGATACGAACAAACCTACTCATTGGTTTTTTTTTTTCGGTAAAGTCACGTATGTAGAAATACCATAAAAATTATATTAAAATAATATAATTTTACGGTATAATACCATCAATTATATTAAAATAAAAAATATATAATTTTATGGTATTTCTACATACGTGACTTTACCGAAAAAAAAAACCAATGAGTAATTTATGCAGTCACGAAAGCTTTAATTCTTTACGAACAAACCTGTCCGTATGTCCAGTTGCCTGTTCGGATCGAGGGTCGTAAGTTTAACCACCGCGCAAATAGATGGCGTGGCGCTTATTTAGCTCCAACATTTTCCCTCTTTCAAAAGCGGCGATCTCCTTGAAGCAAATGCCGAGATTTTTGTTATATATTTTTGTTAGTAAATCAACAACGGTCGGTGATAGATTTGTATTAACTAGTGGTGCGATGGTCACGTATGTGTAAGATGTAGGCCTTTGTATAAGTTTGTCTGGTAATTACAATGGATGGTAAGCTGAAAAGTGTGCAAAGTAGTTCGGTGGAGATGATGCATCCCTCGATATCGAAAGGCTTGGCACAAGAACCACAACCTGCTCTCTGTTACATCAAAAACAAAATATCTTGTTAATTATTTTCAATTA